TAACTTTATCATATCAAGTGTCATTTAAGTCATATTTGCTAATGTATTAAAAGTATTCCTTACTTGTATCCAGTCACATTTACTTAAAGCATTTAAGTTTTATTAACTTAACTGAACTGAATCTGTGATTTGAGGAATGGGTACATGTTTCATTTAGAGAGATGGACAAAGAAGTCATTTATATGGTTGTACATAATAAAATCTGAAAACAAAAGAGTGTATTAATTTTTTTAGTAAATGCATTTCATTGGTATTTTAAGTATATTTAATGTAGTGAATGCAACTATAGTTGCCGAAAAATATATTTGGCACTGTACATACTGTGTATACTGTAGAATAGAATAGACAAAGCACCTACAGGTTATCAAAGTTAAGAAGCACTTTTTAAATGTTTTTCTCTCTTTGATTTCATATAGTACAAACATAAACTAGGCCTAGTTAGTCATGTTGCCATTTTTCAGAATGGAGAGTTGTTATATGGGAATAATAATTCTTTGTTTAATGAAAGGGATATGTGTTTTATTTTCTTCTTAAATATAAAAATACCAAGAAAGTACCATTACCGTGGCCCAAAAACCGTGACATGTACCAGGCCGAGGGAAAACTGTACCATTACACCACTATTAATAGGTCTGTTTAAGGATCTGTTATTTTCCCCTGTTTAGTTCTGACTGCTTTTTTGGTGTTTTTCCCCAGTATGTTTTGTTAGTCCAGTAAACCCTTGTTATCTCTGAGCCAGTGAGTGGATCTTCACCTTTTTCCCACTTGCACCATGCCAGTCCGCAGCAGTAACAAGGGGGAGGTTCATATCTGACACTCTCTCTGCCAAACTCTTTAATTCGTGGTGGCCAGTCCAGTGCGTACGCAGGGTTTTGGTTTAACCTTTAGGTCAGCTATTTGATCTCGGGGTAAGGACTCTTTAGCTGATCAATCCACTAATTAGTAAACTAGAGTTGGAGTGAATACCCGCTTACACAATGGATTTTTCTGGATACGATTGGCTGCCCCTGCTCTAATTAATAAATCTATCACTGCCAAAATGCTGTATTCCTTTAAAAGTGAATTATAAGCACACAATAAATTACAGCATCTTTGCTTTTAATCAGCTATAAATAAAACACAGTTCTTTTGTCTGTTCTCCTTAATTTGTAATTCTTTCTCTAGCCAGCTGAACAGAGAATGTGCCCCTTGTCATCGTGGCTGATTATAATAAGGAACTACACACACAAAGCTCCTCCCTTAATTTCCATATTGCAAGGGAATCTGGAAAAAATTGATTGTTTTGAAACATTATTATATAGGTGCAGGTGACACATTGCAGATGGCAAAGCATACAGGAGCACTGTTAGAACCTATTAATATTGGTGTTCCACCCTGATATATTCCATCCCACAGCAAATTTTTGAATATTTTGATAGCAACAGTAATTTTTTGTGTTATTTTGGGAGGTGAGGAGCATTTACAGCATATAAGTGTTTTTGTGCAAATTTGTGGTATTATTTACTCTCCTGTCAGTAAAAAAAGATACCTGTTCTTAATCAAGGCATATTCTATTCATAAACAATTGTTTTGTTATTGAAGAATGAAAAATACTATGATAGCATAAGGGAAATGTACTATCCAGGAAAAGCTAGTTATTGTTTAACATCTACATGATTAACATTGTGATATAACTATGTATATGTCCCTAACAGGGTCAAATATCTACATGGGTCTGAATAATGTTTTGGCGTTTGACTGATACATATTCCTAATTCTTAGGCATGTGACTATTCTGATAGAATGCTGGTTTTTTCCCAAAGATTTTGAAGCCAAAATGTTACCAGATATCAGGAAAGACTCATATACTGTATAAATAAGGTTATGTGGGTTTGAAATTTACTTCCAAACTGAAAAGTAGGAAAGGTAATCTCCAATAACGGTCTTCAGGATGCAACCATAAAATCATGAAAAAATGAAAAATATTTTGGCAAATATTACAGAAATATACAAATGGAATAATTAAATGAAACTGTTCTGGAGTGACTGGAAATCGTTTTCATCTTCACTCAGTATGAGAATTTGTTATCAGTCATACAAGTATGTGGTTGGCCTAACAAGATTGTATTTGTACTTGTCCATTCTCATGCTTTTGTAACACACTGGCATTGGATTTATAAGGCAGATTAAGAAATGTCCAGATCTCAAGTTTAAGAAGTTGCAATGATGATTATTTACTGGCTAACAGTGTTCTTGATTTTGTCATGAAGCGTTTAAGCAGAGTTCCCATTCAATGATGTGATACATGAAAAAGTGGCAGTCAGTGAGAATCTTCTCTTAAAAATCTTCCCAACCTGACAGTTTCATCAAGGGGACAAACATCGATCACAGAAAAAAAGACTAAAATGCCCCTATAGTAAGTATATGTCACATGACTTCCTCCTGGGATCAATAAATTAAAGTCTTATCTAAAGAGGAATTCAGCAGGAACTGAGGAGGTTCCATATGTGATTTTTTACTATAGTAAAACCTTGTTTTAAAAGGATATGCATAAAATTACCAAGAAAAGAACAGTCAGCCTTATTAATTTCCTTTCATGTTCTCTAAGTCACCCTTAGGCTAGGAAAACTGACCCTTAATCATTGATTCACTATGCATGTTTCTAGATCAGGTTTGGGCAATTATTTTCTGCTCACCATGTCAACAGGGGCAAAAGTTTAATGATTATTATATACTATGAAATCTACAACAGCAGCCCTGTTAGATTTTACTATATTTTTATTACCTGTTCAAAGAATGATTTGCATCGGCAAGAATCTGTTTATCCTCATGGACTTGAATGAAACTTTACCCTTGATTTTAATGATCGTACAGACCAGTAAAAATAAGTTCCGCGGGGAGGATGTGGCATACAGGCTGGCTTTTGCTCGGGTCTGTTCTAGATGGTGATCAATTTCTTTATTTCTGTTTATCACACAGGCAGTGAACAAATGCAACAAATGCAGCCCAAAGTTTTCCATTGACTGTTGCACCTAAGTAACTATTCTCATAATTCTCTGGGCCATATTAGAATGCAAACTGGCAGCAGGTATTTGATTTCGCTCAGTCTGCCACAGCCTCTATAGCTGCAGCTGGAAAGGAAACTGCCTGTGTTACGGGTTCCATTTTTTTTTTAAAGAATTCATGTTGGTTCCTTTAATTTTAGGATATTTTTATTAGAGAAAATTGTAAATATGGCATATAAAATTTACTATTGCAACTAAAATATGCAATCTGATTGTCTTCCACACTGTAAAAAATAAAAAGTGGGAAAAAGTTAAGGCAACCTGCTGCAAAGTTCTCTACTTCACGCCCATGTAGTTGCGCTGACTTCATTTCCTAAGTTACACTGTGTGTTTTCACAGGGCAGTGCTTTAAGTTTCCTCAACTTCACTTTGCAAGCACAATCAAATAGTAAGTGTGATTTTGCTGAGATTGAAATGATAAGTTGGGTGAACTATTATAACCCGAAGAAGAAAAGCAGGTTAGCACAACTGCATGGTGATTGAAGTTAAGAAAACTTAGAAATGCTTTGCAGCTGTTTGCCTTACATTTCTAAGTCTGCTCAAATCCCTCTAAACTTACTTTGTAAGTTTAATGAAAAACATAAAGAACAACAATAGCTACAGGAAGCCAGGTTGCCTAAAATACTGCTATACAGGGCATAATACATACCAGTTAGTCCATCAGAGACCAGCATCCATGACCTTTATCTGGCTTTACGGTTGTGAGATAATATGGTTCCCTATATTCTGTCCTTCCCTGTTCCTCGTCTTGCCTTCAGTCCCATACAGGGCCTGGGGTCGTCACATCGTGCACTAACACAAGCATCTATTGTCAGCATTAAACTAACTTAGGTGGCAGTATCAGTACATTTTGTACTTGGGAGTTCATTATAAACATTGAGGGAATCATAACACATTACCTCATTCTCATTTCCCCTCGTATCTCGTATTATAAAATATCATAATATAATCTAGCCCTTGCTAGATTATAATCTAATCATTACTATCTTGCAAGTACAGTAAATGTAACAGACATGTGTTTAGATGAATAATCAGACTAACATTGCTGTATTTGACATTTAAAGGCAGGCTATACAAGTCTGAAAAAAATAAGAGGTCATAGCAACATTTTTAGTTTCACTCCTTTTTTAATTTATAGGTGTGTGTGTCTGTGTAAAATATCTTTTTTTTTTTAAATTCCAACCTGGTTCTTCTGTTGATCGTTGATGAAGGACTTCTGCCTTGCATTATGAGACTTCAGTCCTACTTCTAGAAGCGTGTTACAAACTTGTCCTAGCAGTGCACTTCACACCTGCACTTAGTGTTTCCCCATTCCTTTTGAAGGTCATTTAAGGTCATCCTCCGATTTATGAGAAACTGTCAGATCAGTCATCTCTGACATTAGAGAGTCGCTTCCACCCTCTACCTGGCTTTTTTTTTTTTGGTGTTCCCAGTGTCTCCTGCTTCACATTGTTCTTGTGTACTGCGGTCTTAGAAATTTTGAGCCTGGAATTAACCTGCTGCTCAGTGTAGCCTTCTGCCAGCAGAACCAGGATAAAACCAGGACTTAACAATGCAGATTCTTAAAGAAATATGGAGTGGTCTCTTAATGTAATTGTAGCATAAGTTATACAGTGTAGGCCAACAACCCTGGACTGTGTAACTCTGTGCTGTAGTGTTCAATATTGTAATCATTGCTGCATAGATGTTTTGTAAGGTATTGCTGACTGCTTTACCCAATTGGACATTTGGATTCTTGTTAAATTAAAACTGGCACCTATACAATATTCAAGCTATTAGCCATTAGGAAAACAGACCTGAATTGAAATACTAAAAATATGTTTAAATACCTGTGTTATATGCATGACTGCAAATATTTTATATGTGTAACGACCGCTGTCCGGTGAACAAGCAGGAAGTGGGGAATCACCAAAACGGGCAGACAGAGATCCAGAAAGACTGGGTTTTAATAGGGAAAGCACAAGAAACATGAACCACACGGTACAAACGTGAATGACGGATCTGGGAAATGGACAAAGACGTGGACTGATATACACAGAACAAGTCGAAAATAACATCAAACAGCTGGGAACAATCAGGGTAGTACACATGGATAATGAGGGGGCGTGGCACACACGAGGATCGGACGAGCTGGGCGTGACAATATGATACAATGTTTACACAAGCAAAAAATAATATAGCATTATTATTCAGCCAATAGTCATCTATTTGTATATGAACATTACCTTTTAATATTACTTTCCTGGAAAGTATGTATTCTCAAAAATCCAATTTGTCATTTATCAGATTTTCAGGGCCCAATTCCCCCATATTCAGCATTCAAGAAAAATCTTGCTTTTTTAAAAGCAAATGAGTTATTTGAAATAATCATATTCTATGTAAAACTCAAAAGTAAAAGTGAATTACACCAACATGTATGTGTTTCTAATGTATTTTTTTAATCCATGCTCATGGTCCTGTCCAGGATAAGCATTTGGAAGATGGATGGATGGATGGAATCTTTTATAATCTGTGTACTGTATTTTAACTGAATCTCAAAATTATTATTTTTATGGTATATTATCTATATGATCTACATTTATCAGTTCGATAAATGTAGCCATCTTTTTGAAAAGAGAGCTAAAACAATGCTATAGAAATGCAAAAACAGGGTAAAAGTCAAATTAGTGTTGTATACTGCTCTGTATTTCAGTCAAATGAATATCACTGCTGTACATAAATAAAAAAGCATGAATGTTACAACGCAAAGACTGTCAAATGCATTAAAAAGTACCAGAAAACACATTGCAGAACTCCTTGACACTGGCTTCTTTCTGTGGCGAGTTACTCGGTGTGAATAAGCACTTAAGCAATGAGTGTGTCCATTAAATAGTCTATGTGATGTTTTTCACACATAGTCACCAACCCTGTATCCATCACTGGCACTCGAGAAGCCGGAAGGAGAATGAAGGCGCTTATGGACAGTGGGGTGTTGATATGCCTGAGGTCCTCGCCGCATGACCGCCGCAGAGGCTTGTGGGATGCGGGCTCTACGTTCCAGGAATGACCCACTGCACAGACACAGTGAGGCCCCGCCAGCAATACTCAGCAAGGCTGAGATAAAGCCCAGGTAGACAGCCTGCCCGATCTCGTACTTCATGATGCTGGGCAGCTGGGGGTTGTAGAATTGTTGGACGATGTCGTTAGTGGTCCAGGACACGGTGACCAGGCAGAGAAGGCCGGCGGCGATAAAGCCGATGCCACCGAAGACAGCCAGGGCGTTCTTGTTGCGGGAGTGCGAGGCCAAGCGGGTGCACTCCATGCCCACAGTGGCGAGGGCAAGAGCCAGAATGGAGGCGACACAGGAGATGATCATGAGTGCCCGCGCCGCCTGAAGGTCCAGGGGCAGTGCCAGCAGGGAGCGGTGGGTCTGGCACTGGTAAATGCCCGTGCTGTGCCACACACACTCCATCCACAGCCCCTTCATGTAACCTGTAGCCGTGATGATGTTGGAGCCAATGTAAGCCCGCCGGCGCCACTGCGGCAGCAGTGTGGTGACCACCATTCCCAGCAGGCCCAGAAGACCCAGGAAGAACCCCAGCAGCTGCACTGCCATTTTAGCCATCCTTGACTACTTAACAGCTAAATGCAGAACTCCAGAATAAAATGATCTTTTGTAAAATGTTTGTTTACTCGAATTTGCCGATTTCTCTCACCAGTCCCGTAAAATCTGCTGGGTGCAGAATCACTCTGCTGTGATATCCCCGATGTTCTCCTTAAGCCCGGTTGACCGCTTCCATGACGGATATGAACGTCATTAACTCTCGCCTGTTTACTTTTCTTCTCCTGGGCAGGGACCGTTTCTCTGCAATTATCCCAAAAGCACTCCAGAGAGAAACAAAAAAAAATTGCTTGGTGATTCTTCAACTGAGGTACTTTTCCTGAGAAAACACTGTGAACACTGACACAAAACTTAACGTTGGTTTGTGAATGTATTATGAATTATGATGCATTTATTGCCTTATTGACTTAGTTTCAGTGAGATGAAAGTTCACCTGTTAAAGTCAATAATTAACGACAAAGTGATTATGTGTTAAAAAAAAAAACAATGACAATGATCTGTACTTTCACTATCTCCAGTAACTCCCAGCTCATTCATGAAGCATCAATTCTAAGAATTTCTGTCTTCATGTACATTCTGTGTTTATTTACCTGGTCTTCTGTAACTTCAAATGAATCAATGAAATGCAGAGCCTCTTTCTAAATGTACAGTCATGTGATGAAGAAAGGACTATCAATTCTAAGGTTTCATGTTTCAGGACAATAAAAAAATCATCTGGTCCTTAGCAGGTCTTAAAATGAGGTGACAACAACACATGACATATTACACTGTGTCATTATTTAACATAAACCAAGCCAAAACACAGAAGCAGTTTGTGAAAAATGAAGCTACTGCTTCCATGGGAATGAAGAGGGTAAGTAGCAACCAGATGCTGCTAATCAAATGCACTTGACTAATTGATCATCAGCAAGTGTGACCGTCACTATAAAAGCAGAGTTTTGGCAGTTTGCTGGTTTGGAGCATTCAGGTGTGTTAACACAATGCCAAGGAGGAAAGACATCAGCAATGACTGAGAGATCCAATTGTTGCTGCCCATCAATCTGAGAATGGTTAGAAGACCATTTCCAAACAATTTGAAGTCCATCATTCTAGTGAGAAAGATTATTCACAAGTGGTTAACATTCCAGACAGTTGCCAGGAGTGGATTTCCCAGCAAATTCACCCCAAGGTCAGACCGTGCAAAAAACCCAAGAGCTACATTTCAGAGTCTACAGGCTTCAGGAAAATTAGAGAAAGACTGAACAAGTATGGCTTGTTTGAAAGGGTTGCCAGGAGAAAGTATCTTCTTTCTAAAAAGAACATGGCAGCAAACATGCAGAGCAGCATCTGAACAAACCACAAGACTTCTGGAACAATGTCCTTTGGACAAAAAAGACCAAAGTGAAGATGTTTGGCCATAATGCACAGTGTCACGTTTGATGCAAACCAAACAGCATATCAGCACAAACACCTCAAACCAACTAGCAAGCATGATGGTAGAGGGGTGATGATTTGGGCTTGTTTTGCAGCCACAGGACTTGGGCACTTTGTAGTCATTGAGCTGACCATGAACTCCTCTATATACCAAAATATTGTGTAGTCAAATGTGAGGCCATCTGTCTGACAGTTAAATTAGGTCATGCAATAGGACAATAATCCAAAGCATACCAGCAAATCTACAAAATAATGGCTGAAAAAGAAAAGAATCAAGGTGTTGCAATGCCCCAGTCAAAGTCCAGACCTCATCCTGATTCCCAATTCTACGGCGGGACCTTAAAAGAGCTGTGCATAAACGAATGCCCACAAACTTCAATGAACTGATGCAACAATGTGAGAGACTGATAAAGTCATATAGAAAATGATTGCTTCATTATTGCTGCTAAAGGTGGTTCTACAGGCGATACTTAATATTTCACAAATGGCTTCTCCATTTTTTCTTCATTTTTGTTAAATGAATGACATGGTGGAATCTGTTGTGTGTTGTTTCACACCAGAGGTTAGATTTAAATAATCTTAGATCCTAGTACACGGCTCTACACAACCTTTGTTATTTGCTGGTTAAATGAAGGTTCAGATTATCAAGACGTTGCGTATTTGGAGTTTGGGGGCACTTCCAGAGTAATGCTGAGGATATTATCCCGTGAAATGGAAGTATATTTCTTCCTTTCAGTAGGGACAGAAGTCCGTATAAAGGCGGGAACAAGTGGCGAATCCCATGATTGGTGGTATCAATTTATGCTGCCAATCACTGTGTGCACTGAACCAATGGGATTAAATAGGAACCAAAATAACCAATGGGAAGTGAGATAAATCATCACAGCATCACCAAACACACCCACTGTGTGTTCTGGTGCCTCAGTTCTCCTGTTATGAGAAACCAAGAGAGTACCAATACCACCCAGCTGACAGGGAGAGACCTAGAAAAAAAATGTAACCTATTCATTTAACCTGCAAAGCTGAGGATTTTGTTTTAGTTTTTCATCTAGATGAAGAGGAACAGAACAGCTTAAAACTCTACTAGCCTGCTAAAGGGGTTGAAAATTCTGGCAAAGGCGCCCCAGGGCCCTCAGTCAGGGCTGTGCAGTCTGCTTCACAGTTGCAGACATTTTCTCCGAGTTGTCTGGTTCTATGTCATTTTCTCAAGTTTTGGGTGCACAGTTAACCCAGTGACATTTTCCCCCGGCGCCACAGGGCTGCATAATAATTTCGACACGGCCCGTGTCACTTTCAAGGGCTGCAGCTGCATTGTCAGCTCTAAGACCTTTGCTCAGGTCTGAAGCTGGACCGTCTGCTCTCTAATGTTCTGTCACAGCTGTGGACCTTCGCTTGCTCTATGAACATACGCATTTGGCAGCCATGCACAAACACTCTCAGCTTCTAAATAGCACGTCCCTAATTCCACGTTAAATTAGGAGATGGCCCAGCTTGGCCCTGCTGTTCACAGCCTAACTCCCCCCCCCAGACTATCACTGGACACTCATTATTAATATTAAACTATTATTATTTATGTATTTATTGTTAGTCACGACATTTATTCTACCCTGTTATGTTGCTGTATTACTTGTTATTTTGTTGAAGAAATTTAAAGACTGTAATCTTGCTTTGTATATGAAGAGAACTAGAGTGTAAGGAGAAGCAAAAATCTCACACTGTTTAAACAAAGCCCACACGCACATTCACCATGACTGAGGCATTTTAGCGTTGTGAGCAAAGGTAAACTATTTGCTTGGGACAGATACAGGGCCCAAGCGGACAAGCGGAGTGGATTACATCATCTCTAAGATGCCACAGAACATCCTCATAGACTGGCATAGCACTTAACCTGCTAACAAGGTGATCCTCCAGATATACTGGAAAGGGAGGAAGGTTACTCAGAACAGGGAAGGAAAGTGGCCATGGCTACAAGATAGCAAAAGACACTATTGGGAAAGTCCATTTACAACACTGTCCTCAAGGCCTGTAAGCCCACAGCAGTGATGCATGCAATCTGTGTTCATTTGCAGGCCTTCACAAATTTCATCCACAATTCATTAAAATGCATTCATCCTACGCACTATCTTTGCTCAGTAATTCCTTTGCCTGAATGTATGAAACACATCTTCCTCCCTAAATGGATCCATCTTCTTCATAATTATCAGTGCTGAGCACTTGAACATATTGAGCAGACACTAGTCTAACAATCGTACCACGAAGCAAAGCAGTAAAACACGCCATCCTGCTACATAAAGTAATAAACACCACTATTACTGAAGTGAGAATCTTCACCAGGAACGATCTCCAATAACCAAATCAGGTTTCTAGAAACTTAAATGGAGTCCAATCATATACTGTAACAAATATTTCCTCCTTCCAAATAAGTAACTGATTATAGTAGCACTTTTGAGTTGGCCCAGCACCCTTTGCTGTGTAGCTCCTGGAACAGACCACTCCCCCGTATGGTGCTGGATGTTTGCATGAAATAATACTGCCTTTGATTTAACTGATTTATTTTTTAAGCCACTGTGATGGTGTTGAATAGGGCAATAGTATAAAACCCCAGATATAGTAAAATGCATTGATTAATGCCGCAGCAATTAGTCTTGGTGGGCTCAGTGCTGGTTGAGTCTTTCACCTTGCTAGGGGGATTTGCTGTGGGGCTCTCTGGGTGACTAAGGTACAGCTGTAGGGGGGGATCTGATGTGGGGCTCTCTGGGTGACTAAGGTACAGCTGTAGGGGGGGATCTGATGTGGGGCTCTCTGGGTGACTAAGGTACAGCTGTAGGGGGGGAT